ACAGTTAGATTGAAAACAATGAATTTTTGCTCACATAAATGCTTATCAATAATTTTAATCATACTACGTCAGTCATTAGCATATTGATGTACAATTCTGACTAGCTCATCCCTGAAAAAAATAAAATGCATACAATTTACTATGCTATTAAAATCAATGATTACAGGTATTTGAAGTTTTGAGTTTAATCAATAAGACCAAATTCCTAAAGATACTCTAGAATAACTACATATGGGTCTTTGTAATACCAAATGTATCTTAATGCAATTCAGTTTTCTTCATATAATTCTTTCTTTAGTTGATTTTATGCTTATTGCTTGATAAAATTATTTGGGTCTCTTCTATGAAAAAATTCTATATATTTTTCATGTTGCTCTTCTTGCACTTTAATTACAAATTCATATTCATAATAGGGAATATCAAGTTCTAATCCTTTAGAATGTTTAGGAATTTTTAAGAAATCTGGTCTGTGATTTTCAGATGGTGGACCAAGATACTTTGCTACAATTTCTTAACATAATTATTTGCATTTATATTTATAACAAAATGAACACTAGATATCACTTTTCACATTACTGAAAGATGTTTACTATATATGACCTTTTTTGCAATACTATAATAGTGATAATTGATTATTTTATACTTAGTTGAAAGGCATTACCCATGTCTAGATAATGCAATTTACTTCACGTCTTTAAGAGATAATTTTAAATGACTTGCACAATATGAACATCAGCTTTTTTGTTAAATACTATTAGAAATAGCTTCTTATTTATATTTATTCTTGCAAATCTATTCTAACTTAACAGATGAATTATAATATCAATCTGAAAGGCAATCTTCATTTTTATTTGTGTAAGTTTATGCATATCCTTAATAGATTGATATTGGCCAATACAAAATAGATACTATTGTTCTTCATTTTTAATATGATTAAGTGTATTTTGCTATTGGTGATTAGATTGACAACACCAAGTAAGTGATTCAGTTATATTTTTATATTCAGTTGAAAGACATTCTCTATGTCTAGATAATGCAATCTGTTTTATATTCTCAAGAGTTAATTTCATATGATCTACGTAATATGAGCATCATGAACCAGAATTTTTAATATTATTAAGCGGAATATTCTAAATATGACCTTAATAGTATTTTATGTCATAAGAGTTTTGGAATTATTATATGTGATTAAAAGACATTTACCATTTTGGCTAAATGCAATTTGCTTGGTATTTTCAAGAGTAAGATAAGCATTACCCATACAATATAGACACTATTTACCACTTTTCATATTTTTAAAAATACATGCCATAAATGATTTTTTTTGCAACGCTATAATAATGGTAGTTGATTATTTTTATACTTAGTTAAAAGGCATTCCTCATGTTTAGATAATGTGATTTTTTTGATATCTTCAAGAGTATGTTTTACATTATCTGCATAGTGTGAATACCATGTTTCACAATTTTTAACTTTATGAAGTGTAACATACCATGTATGATTTTTAGTATAATGTTATATTAATGGGATTTTGTTATCTTTGTATTCAGTTGAAAGACATATGTAAAATCAGTAAGAAACAATTTGCTCTTGTATTTTTTGATTTGATGCAGAGATCTTTAAAAATAATAACAGTACGTCTTTTAGGAAAGAATTTACTTATATCTGGGATCTTTTCCACTTTTATTATTTAAAATGAGATATTCTTTTGATATGACTCAGAACTATTAGCAAAAATATGGATAGCATTTCTTACCAACTTCCATTTTGGCTTGATATACTTTCCAACTAAAATGAGATCATTATTTTTAATATATCTATCTCTCTTCTTACCTTTAAACATGCGCTGAAGTTTATTGCCTAGAATAAGATTTATAATCATATTAGTTTTTCTGCTATGTGAACCTTAGTAATTACCATATGAAAAGGCCAGTTTAGAGAATATTTATTGCCTTTCAGACACTTCAAAGATTTTTTGAAGATTTCATTAATATTATACATAAAGAATTCTATATAGTTTAATATATAAAGCATATCAAAATAAGAAATTTCAGCAAACTTATTTATTCAAAATCATGTGAACTTTCAAGAGTTGGGCTTCGCTTTATCTAAAAACCCTTTCTCAATTAACATATATCTAATGAACAAATATAAATCTGCAATATAGGACACTTTAATAAAGCATATATCTTGATCTTTGCATATATCCGCTTCTTTTGATCACTCATATTTTATGATTTTAGATTTTTATTCTTCTGTGATAAAAACTATTATGATGATAGTATTGAGAATCCTGGAATTCAAATGCAAGATGCAATTTCTTATTATATCTATCTAAGTGTAGCCTATCTAAAAACTTAGCCTTACATGATAGAAATTTCTTACCCAATAAATTCTCAAAAATATATCAACAAGTCTTTCTTAGATACTGATCATCACGTTTTCTAGCATAATCAATAGCTTGATCTATTTTTTTATTAGTAATATAAGTAACATATACAGATAATATACTTTTGGGGTGAATACCTAACTTTTTCTAGATCGGCTATAAACATAAGTTCTTCTTACACAAACTCACATGATAGAGCATATTCACTATCAAGATAATATAAAACTAGCTCATTCTTTATAATAACAACTTTTCAGATTTTATGAAGACTTAGACTGAATGTAGGATCAATTGCACACTTCTGATTCTCCATTTCACCCTTCCATTCTGCATTGACAAGAAGATAGCAGACAGTATTATCTTTCTTTAATGCTATTTTATCTTTTTCAACTGAATGCTTATATTTTGTAGATGGTCTAGATTTTACTCAATCTAATGCAATGGCTTTTACTAGTTCAAGTCTCCACTTTTATGATCTCAGTTCTCAAATAAGATACGTAGGATAATTATTTAGGTAATCAATAACTATTGATATAATTTAACTCATACTTTTTTTAATTGAGGATCAAAAGATATCAATTCAATGACATACTGAATTTTATATAGAATTTTTGAAAGTGTCTGACTGAAACGCTCTATAAATGCAACTTTTCTATGACTATATGGGTTGATCACTCAAATTGTAACATTATGCTCTTGTATTAGTTGAGAGATTTCACCTATAAATTCATGATCTCTGTCATATTGTAAAAACTTTAGCTATGTTAATGGATTATTTTGAACACCATATAATTTTCTAAATGCTTTAGCAACTTCTGAACTATTCTTAAATGTAAATAGAGCTGAAGCTTTATAGCAAGAAGCGTAATTTATAATATTAAGTATTGCTTTATATTTTTTAACTTTATAGTGATCATAAGTGAGAAACAGTATATCGCACTGGTATACACAATTTGGATGTGTTATTTACTCATAGCTAACTCTAGAGATATATTTCAGAGAGATTTTATTTGTTTGGTATGACTTCTGATTTTCTAAAAAGTTTTTGCATTTACTTAAGTGAAATTGATGTCCCTCTTTCTTACAGGTATTTCTCAACGATTTGGAGTTAGAATAATAGTCAGTTAGACAATAATATATATCACGCAATATGATATTTTTTTCAATTTTCTGAATCTCATCAGAATCTATTAAAATTTGCAGTTGGCTCATTCTAATTCTCTTTTATAATTACAAAAAAGAATAGTATTTTAGAGGTCTCATCTAAGATAGAGAAGAACATGTGAAGAATATAAAGCTGAGTTGAAGGAGGAGAACTACCATCTTTATAGTGAATTGCAAACAGAAGTTAATAGTAATTATCAGAATGAGAGACGAATTAATCAACTGAAGCAGAATTATATTTGATGTAAGTAAGAAATTCAAGACCTCAATAGAGAGATAGAATGCCTTGAATATGCTTCAGAAGAAAAAATATCAGAACTGAAGTCTGAAATCTCCAGCATAAAAAATTAGTTATATCAAGTTAGAAAAGATGTGCGAGATAAGGATAGGTATATCTTTGGCTTAAAAAAGCGGTTAGTAGAATATGAGGAGCAGGTTGAAAAATTGTGATGCTGAATCAAAACTATTTTATTACGAAAAAATTCGCCAGAACGAGAGAATTCTCTAGACTTGTATAATCCTAATATTAACTTAGAAATAGCTACTATCACAGAGCTAGCAAATACTATAGATAGTTATATAAAAAATAGGACAACAGCCAGGAATATTTTAATAGATCAAATAAAAAGAGTGACAAGACAGATACACTGAAAAAAGAATAATTTGCATTAAAATTTAATCAATAAGCAAAAAAGACGCTATAATGTAGAAGCTGAGTGTGATCTTGCTATTATGTAAAGAGATCTTACTAAAGAAGCAATGGATAGGGTTATTAGTAATCTTCAACAGTTGTAAACTAATGCCTAAAGTCAAGTAAATAGAATATTAAACAATATAATAGGAAAGCGAACCTGTATTGGTGTATTATTATAGGAAAAATTTGCCTTATAGTTATTGTATCAGCAAAATACCTACTATCTACAGTAAAGTAGAGAAAATATAGGTTTATTAAAGTATAATTAGAACAAACTCTATGAGCAATATGAGAAATAGAAAAATAAGATTCAAGCAGAATACTAGAATAATTTAAATTTGCAGGCACAAATATTTGCATTATAAAATAATCTTTCATATTTAAGAATGGCAGGATATACATTAAAAAGATTCTCAGGTAGAGTAGATAAAGATATAGATGAATTCATAAAAGATTACAGACTCTATCTTACAGTGGTCAATATCACTACTGCTAATGCAGATAGTAAACAGAAAGCTTTAAAACTATTTCAGTCATACTTAACAGATGAAGCATCATGTTAGATCGAAGACAAACTCATAGGTAAAAAATGATGATAGAATCATATAATATGTGGGAATGCATTAGCAAATATGACTGCTGTTGTAGCCTTAAATAATGCTAACATAATGGTCACTATGATCAATGTATCAGATGATACTCTACTACTAGCATTACTAACTGGAGTTACTAGTATCACAGTTATTTCAGCACATAATGTTCATATGGATGAGAATTGGTTTCTTACTAGAGAGTGTTCTGTAGATGCTAGTATAGCAACTAATGCATCAAATAAAGTTTTAAATAATAATAATAATATAGTTCTTCCTAATATCAAATTAGTCAGATCATCTATTAGTTTAAAAAAAATTATCTTACAGTTGTTCAAAAGTAACAGAAATTGATCTTTGATACTTTGACTTAAGGATCTGATTCAGTTAAAAATTACTATAGAAAGATAAATAAATATGCTAGTTGGGCTCGAATATTTGATCATGAAAAAAGAATACAATTTATACATGATTTGTCTTCTAAAACAAGTTGAAAATAAAGCAATTGGATTTAAACAGACCTTTAAATGATGAATTGATTGAAACGTTGGAAGAGATTGAAACAGAAAGAAATAATTTGCTTTTAGGGAGGATATTTATAATCAGCCAGCTATTAAGACAAAACCAAAAATACCTTCTTATTAGAGTATTACTATAGAAGATGTTAATAGGATTGTAAATAGTAAGATTCAGACATTATAACAATCAGCGTCAAATCAATTACTAGCGTCTTCTTCTGATCAAAAAAAATATTACTAAAGCTAATTTACAAGCTATAACTAAATCCTTTCAAAAAACTATGTCTTGAGCGACTAAAACTCTAGATAATAGTAAAAAATCAGCTAATAAGAAAGGAGAAGACTTTATTATTAAACATTTTTTGAGTAATCTAATAAAAGAGAAAGGTAATGTAGCTCCTAGTGATGATTATAATTATGATCTTATCAATGATATTACTGATAATATAACTGGCATGATACTTAATAGCGTCATAAATGCTGTTGTTAAACGTGTTATTAAGAAATTGTCTTCAGGTCACAAATGCTTTAAGCGTAAAAGATCTAAACATAATTTTTAAAATTGTCCTCGAAAAAAGAAAAAGAAAATGAGAAGTCTAAAATGGGTAAGGTTAATCTCACTACTATAGATTCAAATTCGAATTCAGATTCTTCTTCTGATACCTCATCTAGTAATAGTTCTGATTCTAATATAAGTTCTTTTGATTCTTCTGATTCTAAAGTGATATTACTGTTAATATTGTCAAGGCAAAAAAAAGTAAAATAGAAGTCTAATGTTATGCTAAGAGAAATTCTTTTAGAAGAAAGTATTTGTAAAATTCTTCAAAGTGAACTTAAATTATTTTTTCCTAAACGTTTCTTCCAAAACTTTAAATATGTTGTGTCTGAACAGATAGTGGCTCCTATAGAGACAAAGATAAAGTCTCAAAGCAATATTTTTGAGGATTCAACTCCAGATGAATCTATTTTAGAGAAGGAGTCCTTAGACAATCCTATAGAAATTTATTTGTTCAGAAAAAGAAGCTGAAAATAAGTATTGTAACTGTAAAGTGTAAAATCAAGCATTTAAAGATTCCAACTATGACTCTTAACTCTGAAGCTGAGCCTCCAATTATAATAAAAAATATTATTGATTGCATTAGATCTAAAATTGATAAATCTGAAAAACATGACCTTAGTGATGTCGCTACTGTTCCTATTGAATCTATTGGTATTGTCTGCAATTTGCTAATTACCTTTGTCCCAAGATTCAATATTCATGATGATTTTCTAGTTATAGATTATTACAAGCCAACACTAATATTTTTTAACTAACTCTTAAAAAAATATAGATGTATAATAGATTGGAATACAAATGAGCTAAAGATTCCTTTCAATGAAAAAGATTATATTATTATTGTCACTATGCACAAAATCAAGAACAAGTTTAAGGTAAATTGTACAAATATTACTCCTGAATATAATGATCTGCCAGCTCTGGATTACATTTCACAAGATGATGATGACATGTTAAAAAAATATATGAGTTATGAGAATGCTATATAACACTTATAAATATAATGTAGAAATTAATAAATATTATAAAAAATTACAGACACGTTATGATGAACTTCTTGTCTCTTATTCAAGAATTGCAGAATTAAGAGATAGGTGATTAGAAAAGGTGAAAAAGCTTCATCATTATTTTTTGAATTTATGAAAAAAAAGCAGGAATAGGCAAGTTATTTTTCTAATATATTCTTCATATTTGCTATATTTTTTATGTTCTTTTCTACTACCTTCTCATGCAATTTCTCATTATTTATGTCAGAAGTTTTTAAGCTCACTGAGTCTGAACGGGATATGATGTTAGCAGTAGTATTCCATCTTTAAACTTTGATTTCTTTTCTCCAGTCTTTTTTGTTTTTCCACCTTCTTCTAAAACTGAATCAATAGATTTGTTAAGCTCTATCTTAGTATCACATATTTGTTTTTCTAGCTCTATAAATGAAAAAACATCTTGATTTTAGATCTCTAGTTTGATCTGTTCACCCATAACATTTATATTAAAAAGCGAAGCAATCCCTCTAGAATTAGCTGTTAATATATGAATTGGTTGATTTCACACAATCCTATTTTTTTTCTTCACCTCTTCAGATCTAATAAATACATTTTTGTGATATATAATATTTATCTGTTAAATTCTTTAAAACTTTATCTCTAAGTTTTTTTTTAGCACATTATATAATATGATCATAATCGACTGGTGAAAAAGGAGGAACGTCACATCTCATGCGTTGCCTAAGTATAGTAGCAATATTTTTTTTATATCTAATATAATATTCTGAAATAATTTATTAAATAGGATATATAGAAAGAATGTATTATTTTAAATATATAAGATATACAGGATATATAAGAAGATAATATTTTGAACGTATAGGATATACAGAATAAACAGGTATTTAGAAAGAATGTATTATTCTGAATAAACAGATTATCTCAGAAATTTATTTGTACATTTTTTTAATATATAATTATGCTAATATTATGTTCAATATATATACATTGAATGATATAAAAGATAGAGAAGGTGGTTTTTATAAAATCTGGTTATCATCTGGGTAGTGCATATGAATAAAAGCTCAAAAAAAATTAAGATCTGTTATCAAATTTAACTCTGAGATTAATGATCTTAGTGAAAAGCTGGTAGATAAATACAATGAGCAAGAAAAGGAGTATTAACGAAGCTATAGTAGTATTGGAAATAAGATTAGCTAGTTAAATGTATTAACTACTAAAATTAGATCCTAACTTATTTTTGAACGAAAGTTTCATTCTAAGAATTAACGTGAGCTTAAAGCCAAATATACTATTAAAATCAAATCGCTTAAATCAAATATTAAAATACTAAAGAGAGAGGCAACTTTAGCCTAGAAAGCTTTATCCACTGACAAGGTTAAGGTTTTCTCTCTTGAAACTAAAGTATATAAATTAGAAGGTAAGTTAGAAAATATAGATTTAAAGCGTATATATTATAATTTGAATGCAGTAGAAAGCTACTAGAAGAGCTAATCCAAATAAATATATCTGTAATAAATGATTCCAAAGAGATCAATTCTCTTAAGCTTGAATTAGAGTAAGCGAATGAAGACCTTAGTTCAAAAAAAATACAATAGAATGTATAGAAAAAGGAATAGAGTCCTCAAATAGTATATTCAAACAGAAAATAGATATTTAGTTTTCAGAATGATTAAAATTAATAGAGAAAAATAGGTTCTTTAGGATCAGTTAGCATTAAAAAAAGATAATAAAGTAGATTCTCTACCCTTGCCTATGAATAATATAAAAGAAAATGAGAGTGAACAGGTCCCAAAAGAATTACAACTTTTCACTCTTAATCCTTTACCTTTCCAAATATTTTCTGCAGGTGGCACAGAAGCAATATCTTTACTGACAATAACCTCTATCATCACAAGCTCCTTGATGTTACCTATGCTTAATATATTCTATACTTACTTTAATACTTATTGCGATTATATAGCTCATAGCCAAGAAATATTAAAATTTGTGAAAAAAAAAATAACCAATTTTTATCTACAGAAATTATCTAAATAAGAACTATGCAAAGCATCTTTTAGTCAGACCAGATCATCATTATTTTTAATTTTAATCAACTACTGTATAAGTATTAGCATAAGTAGAACTTCTTCAAATCTTTTTTTGATGTAAGTCAATAGCTTTTTTGGTAAATTTCTGGATAGATTTGTTAAGGCATTTTCAGCTTAGGCTACTATACATGCTAATAATCAACTAATATAGATTAGTCACCTCCCTTACCATTATATCTATACTGTAATAAAAATCAATAGTCATCTATTACAATATTTCCCATTTCCTTCTATTCTGATATGGTCTTACAAGAGACTCCTGCTTATTCTCTTTTGTGATCAGGAGATGAATTTTATTAGGTTCAAAGCCTATATACTGAGAAACTTGGTTATATAGTTCAGCTATTATACCAATAAAGCTTTATCTTTAAAATATGTAGATTTTTCAGTTGATTGTTAACTTAGTAAACGATTTTGTCAAATTATTATATGCGAAAAATACTAATAATCATCTTTAGACATATCTGAAGTTGGGCTATATGATCAGAAGTCAGAAGAGACGTTTGCCTTACAAATCCAGATCGAATATAGGAATTGAAGTTAACTGATATTATTGCACGAGAAAAAATATATAAATAATATTACTGTCTCTTTGAAACTAAGTTTTCTTAGCTGAAATTGACATATTCTACTAAAAATACTTAGCAATATAGTTTAATGATATTGTTTATATCCATTTTAGATGAAACATTTTTTTTTGTTATCCTGTAATTTCGGTAATATTTGATAATGTGTGATTTTTAAATCAACTACTTTGTATCATATATTTTGAAAACCTACTAGTAGCTTACACTCATCCAAATAATATGATGTTAAATATTATTCTAAGGACATTGCTCATTTTTTAATAACTAATTATACATTCTATCTTTATACTCTATATTGTCTTGGGAAATTTCTGCAAGTAGTGTTGTTAGCTTTATACAAATTAATTTCTCTTGCTTATCTAATGTGTTAAGAAAGGAAAACTAATAAGCATCATTTTCTGAACATTTTACTATTTTATCAGCATAAGTGATGTCATATAAATTTTTCACATAAGTACATGCTTCTTTCCATAAATGGGATATAATAGTCTCATTTTTTTTCAAACTATCATGTAAGTTTATACCTTAACCTACTTCTCAGCTGATTTCTATGCTAGATCATCTTTCATGTTTGATACTTCATCTTCATCCAAATCTTT